AGACCAGCCAGGAATGGCCACCTGTAAACCTGGGTTGGAATCCCACCGGTGGCACTGACTGTGGCCTAGAAGCAAGTGGCACAGCCGTGCCTGAGTTGGACTCACTTTCCCCTCTCGTGCCTCCGATTCCCACCTGTGAAATGGAGGTGAAATCTCATTTTCCTCAAAGGGCTGTGCTCTGTGTCTGCCACTCAAATAGAAATCGTGCTCACCAAGTGTTAGGGCCGGTTCTCAGTACACCTACTGCGTGGATTTGCAGAGGGTGGAGTGCATGGAGGGCTCCTCCTGGGAGCCTGTGGCCGAGGCTGCACAGCATCTTTGGTTGCTGTTCCTGTCTCCACCGTGAAGATGGAGCCACGTCCCTCGCGGCCCCTGGCTGGGCCCCACCTCCCGGAGACTCAGGAAGGGCTTGGAATCGGTGCCAGCTTCGCCGGCTGTGGGCCCCACGGCGGTGATGAATAACTTGTTTATCTGCTGGAGCTGCTCCCACCGCTCTCTCGGTGCCTGGCAGGCAGAGGTCTGGAAGGGGCAGGCAGGGACGGGGAGGGCTGGCTCACCAGGCAGCCACCGCCCCTCCTCCCTCCTCCCTCTGCCCCACTCCCCAGTTCAGCATCAACCTCCACCTAAACCTGCTTCCTGCGCTTTCCTGCTCCTCATCTTTCCCCAAATCCTGTTTTGGAAGAAGCACGTTGAAGTGTTTGAAAACGCAGGCTCTGAAATCAGACTGGATTCGAGTCCCAGCTTTGTCCCTTGTCAGCCATGTGACTTTGGACACAAACTCTTGGAGCCATCACTCCCCCTGTAAAGTTTGTTTTTTTGTTTTGTTTTGTTTTGTTTTTTCCTGAGACAGAAACTCACTCTGTCCCCCAGGCAGGAGTGCAGTGGCACAATCACAGCTCACTGCAACCTCCGCCTCCCAGATTCAAGATCCTCCTGCCTTAGCCTCCCGAGTAGCTGGGATTACAGTTGCGCATCACCACACCCACCTAAAAAATTGCATTTTTAGTAGAGATGGGATTTCACCATGTTACCCAGGCGTGTTTCAAACTCCCGACCTCAGGTGATCCTCCTTGCCTTGGCCTCCCAAAGTGCTGGAATTTCAGGCATGAGCCACTGCGCCCAGCCTCCTCCCCTCTAAAGTCTGATGAGAACCTTACTTACCTAATGGGGCTTCACCCTTGAGACAACCCACAAGACAACCCTCCCTCCTGAAGCTGCCAGAATGCTTTTTCTGCTTGGAACCTCCCTTAAGGGCCTCCACCCTTACCCTGAAAGGGAGTCTCCACCTCTAGGCCTTCCTCTCACTTTCTTGCACAGAGAAAGGTTAGGTTAGGTTAGTCTTTTGTGTGTGTGTGTGTGTGTGTGTGTGTGTGTGTGTGTTTGTGGCAAGGTCTTGCTCTGCCTCCCAGGCTAAAGTGCAGTGGGGCAATCATAACTCACTGTAGCCAACCTCCTGGGCTCAAGTGATCCTCCTGCCTCAGCCTCCCAAAGTGGTGGGATTATAGGCTTGAGCCACCACACCTGGTCTCCAAATTATTTCTCTAATCTACTCCCTCTGCTATGGTCTGAATGTGCATGTCCCTCTGTCCCCAAATTCTTACATTGAAACCTGAATCCCCAGTGCAATAGTATTAAGAGGCAGGGCCTTTGAGAGGGTTAGGGTTATGCTGACTCTGCCCCCACAGATTAGATTAGCACCTTTATAAAAGACACTTGAGGCCAGGTGTGGTGGCTCATGCCTATAATCCCAACACTTTAAGAGACCGAGTTAGGGGAATTGCTTGAGCCCAGGAATTTGAGACCAGCCTGAGCAACATAGTGAGACTTCATCTCTATTTAAAAAAAAAAAAAAAAAAAAAAAAAATTAGCCAGGCATGGTGGTGCATCTATAGTGCCAGCTAATTGGGTGGCTGAGGCAGGAGGATCTCTTGAGCCTAGGAGGTTGAAGTTGCAGTGAGCTGTGATCATGCCACTGTACTCCAGCCTGAGTAACAGAGTGAAACTCTTGTCTCTTTAAAAAAAGAGAAAAAGTGATTGTGCCACTGCACTCCGGTCTGGACACCAAAGTGAGACCTTGTCTCAAAATATATAAATAAAATAAAAAAGGCTTAAGAGAGCCAACTTGACCCATCCATGTACCATGTGAGGATATAGTAAGAAAGTACCATCTATGAGGAACGGGCCCTCTCCAGACACTGAATCTGCTGACAGGTCAATCTTGGACTTTCTCCAGAACTGTGAGCAATAAATTTATGTTGTTTACAAGTTACACAGTCTAAGGTATTTGATTATAACAGAAGGAATGGACTAACCCCTGCCCATGTATGGTCTCAAGCCTGAGTCACTACCTCCAGAATAACCTCCCTGCCTGCCTTCCTCCTTCTCATCAAGGCTGCCCCCGTCTGATCATACCACTTTCTTATTAGAAATTCTTCATTGACATCCTTGAACCCAGAGCACATGTGTGCACTGGAGGTGTTGCTGCCCTTCAGAGATGTTTCAAAATTTATGAGAGCATTTTTGGTTGTCACAATAATTCAAGAGTGGGAATACTGGCATTCTGTGGATGGAAACCAGAGATTCTAGACTTCCAGAAATGTACAGAACTTGCCCCCACAACAAAGATTATCAGAGGACCCGCCAGACATTCATGTGGGCAAAAATCCCATTTATCGCTATCTAAGTCCACAACCTACCTTCAGATTACATAAAATGCAAAGTGTTGGAGTCTTTTCTTCCTTAAAAATGTACCTTGGCTGGGCATGGTAATCCCAGCACTTTAGGAGGCCAAGGTGGGGAGGATTTCTTGGGGCTAGAATTCAAGGCCAGCCTGGTGAACACATGGAAATCTTGTCTCTTAAAAAATAAAATAAGCCGGGCACGGTAGCTCACACCTGTAATCCCAGCACTTTGGGAGGCTGAGGTGGGTGGATCACGAGGTCAGGAGATCGAGACCATCTTGGCTAACACAGTGAAACCCTGTCTCTACTAAAAATACAAAAAAAAAAAAAAAAAAAAATTAGCCAAGAGTGGTGGTAGGCACCTGTAGTCCCAGCTACTTGGGAGGCTGAGGCAGGAGAATGGCATGAACCCAGGAGGTGGAGCTTGTAGGGAGCAGAGATCAGGCCACGGCACTCCAGCATGGGAGACACAGCGAGACTCCGTCTAAAACAAAATAAAAATAATAAAATAAAATAAAATTAGCCAAGTGTAAATGGTGGAGTCAAGGTCTTGTTCTGTTGCCCAGGCTGGAGTGCAGTGGTACAATCTCAGTTCACTGTAACCTCCACCTCCCAGATTCAAGCGAGTCTCATGCCTCAGCCTCCCGAGTAGCTAGGACTACAGGCATGCGCCACCACACCCAGCTAATTTTTGTATTTTTAATAGAGACAAGGTCCCACCATTTTGCCCAGGTTGGCCTTGAACCCCTGGCCTCATGTGATCCACTCACCTCGGCCTCCCAAAATGCTGGTATTACAGGCATGAGCCACTGAGCCCAGCCAAGCTGTACAGCTTCTGAGCCTGAATTTTTAACATCTCTCCCCATGAACCTGCACTCTACGAAACATCATGTTGTGCTGCCCATGGGTGGCTTTGTCCCATCACTGGGTTATGCATCGCAAGAGGGCAGGGATCAAGTATTTTCATTCCTGAACACCCAAAGGCTGACAGAGAGTGGAGGTGCATCTTAACACAGGAATAAGTCAATGCCCTAATCACTCGTGGTCAAAAATCACCCTTGGAAATTTTATTAGTTTCTGACTGCTGCTTTAACAAATTACCATGAACTTAGTGGCTAAAACAACATAAATTTATGATCTTACAGTTATAGAGGTCAGAAGTTCTAAATGGGTCTTACTGGGCTAAAATCAAGGTGTCAGCAGGACTGAATTCCTTCTGAATGGTCTAAGGAAGAATCTGTTAATTTGCCTTTTCCAGTTCCTAGAAGCCACCTGCACTCCTTGGCTTGTAGCCCCATTACCCCATCTTCAAATCTACCAACATTGAGTGAAATCCTTCTCCTGCTGTCATCTCTGTGGCTATCTCTTCTGATTCTATCTTTTCTGTGATTACATGAGGCCCACGCAGTTAATCCAGGCATCTCCCTATTTTCAGGTTAGCTGCAGCTAGGCATCTCCCTATTTTAAGTGATTTGACTACTAACTTTAATTTTATCTGCAAACTTAATTGTCCTTTGATATGTAACAACATATTCACAGGTTCTGGGGATTAGAGGTAAGCATCTTTGGGGGCCATTTCTCTGTCTACCACAAGAATCCCTTAAATTGCCCATGGATTTGCAGGGCACTGAGAAAACAACTTAGATTCGTGGTTCAAAGCATGGAGTCTGGAGCAAGATTGTTGAGTTCAAATCTCAGCTTTTTGACCTTGGGCACTTACTTAACTTTTCTGTGTCTCTGTGTCTCAACTTCACCATCTGTAAAATGGGAATGATAATAATAGTGCCCACTTTGCAGGTTAGTAAACACTTAGAATGATGCCCAGGATATAGTAGATGCAATGTGGCTGTTTATTAACTATATTAAATTTCATGGGTGTATATAGCATTGGAACAAGATTGTGGTGTCTGGCTGAGCCTCAGACAAAATTATTGACTTGACTCTCAGCCAGCTGTGAGGTACCACAGAAGTGGAGACTGACTCAGGAGTCTCATTTTTCTCTCACTCTGGGACACGTGCTTGCTAAGTGGAAGAGGATGCTGAAATCACCTGTACTATTTCAGTTGTTTATGCTTCTTTCTATTTTGCCAGGTGAGTGACAAAATTGACTGCAGATTTGATGTGACTTCATTATGAATATGTGTTGAATGAATGAATGAGTGGATGGATGGATGGATGTGTCTTCCCTGAAGATCTGTCTCCACCACACATCCCTCCATGTGGGTTCTCTTTCATGGATGGCCTAGGGAGGTAGCTACAGAAAGGGTGATAAGAATGATGCTAGGATCCGGCATCTGACTGACATTTACCCTTTCTCAGGATCCTGAGGTCTCGTTCAGGACCATGGAGAGCGGCACCAGCAGTCCTCAGCCTCCACAGACAGATCTCCTGGATGCATTTCCCCAGAAGGGCTTGGAGCCCGGGGACATCGCGGTGCTGGTTCTGTACTTCCTCTTTGTCCTGGCTGTTGGACTATGGGTAAGCCAGGTCACTGGGGGATGGGGGATGAAGAGAGAAGGAAATGTCTATTTAGAGGTCTGGAGTTAACCTCATCCTTTTGGAGCTAAGATACTGACTGTGAGAGGAAGAAACTAACACAAGGTTATAGAGTAATCAGAAAAATTTTAAACATGCATTAGGTGTGGACTATTGTCAGACACTGTGTTAAGCATTTTCACTTACGTTTCTCATGTAATTTTCACAGTGCCCTGTGAGAAAGATGCTATTACAATATCCATTTTACAGATAAGGAAATAGAGGCCCAAATAATTTCAGATCCTCATCCTGTAAGTAAGTTAGGAGATCTGGGGTTGGAATCCCTGTCTCCCTTATTTTGAAGCTCATGGTTTTGTTTTTGTTTTTGTTTTTCGTTTTTCATTTTGTTTTTGTTTTTGTTTTTTTGTTTTTTGAGATGGGATCTCCCTCTGTTGCCCAGGGTACTAGAATACAGTGGTGGCAATCATAGCTCACTGTGGCCTCAACTTCTTGGGCTCAAGTGATCTTCTTACCTCAGCTGCCAGGTAGTTAATTTTTAATTTTTTTTTTTTTTTTTTTTTTTTTGTAGAAATGGGGTCTCGGTATCTTGCCCAGGCTGGTCTCAAATTCCTGGGCTCAAGCAGTTCTTCCATCTCAGCCTCCCAAAGTGCTGGGATTACAAACAGCCCAACTTTGTTTTTTTACTCTAAAGAAAAATTTTAAAGGCAATACAATCACATGGTTCAAAAATAAAAATCACTTATGAGAAGTGATGAAAAGTCTCAATATTAGCCTTCTCTCCACAGGTAACCAGTATTATTAGTTTGTTAGTACATTAGCATATTGTTCAAGTGTCTTTATGCAAATCCAAGCAAATTTTACTATGTGTATTTCCCTCTTCCTTAAACAGAAGGTTGCTTATACTGTTTTTTAACTTGTTATTTTTCACTTCTCAGTATCTTTTAGATATGGTTTCACATTAGCACATAGATATTCCTTATCTTCTTAAAAGTTGCACAATATTTCCTTAGATGATTGTGCTGTAATTTATTTAACTAGTCTCAGGCTGAGGGTCATTTGGATTGTTTCCAATCTCTTACTATAATAAACTATACTATAATAAACAAACCCTGGCTGGGCACGCTGGCTCATGCCTGTAATCCCAGCACTTTGGGAGGCCAAGGCGGGCGTATCACTTGAGGCCAGGAATTTGAGACCAGCCTGGCCAACATGGTGAAACCCCATCTCTATGAAAAATGCAAAAATTAACCGGGCATCGTAGTGGGTGCCTGTGTTCCAGCTACTCAGGAGGCTAAGGCAGGAGAATCACTTGAACCTGGGAGGCGGAGGTTGTGGTGAGCCGAGATCACGCCATTGCACTCCAGCTTGGGCAACAAGAGTGAAAATCTGTCTCAAAAACAAACAAAATAAGTAAATAAATAAATAAACTCTGTACACTATTTGGGAGTGTAGCTATAAGACAAATTCCCTGCAGCAAAATTGCCAGGTTAAAGAATATACGCATTGGTATTATACTAGTTTGTGTCAAATTGCACTCCTTAGGTGTACACATCAGAAATGATGAGGAAGTCTGTTTTGTCGCATTCTCACCAACAGTGTATTGCCAAACTCATTTTTGTCAGGCTAGGAAAAATAATATCTCAAAGTATTGTTAATATGTATATATCTTATAATGAATGAGGCTGGGCCCCATAACATATGTTTAAACACCATATATTTTCTTTATGTGAACTATGGCTTCATATCGTTTGCCTTATTCCTATTAGGTTCTTCTTCTTTTTCTTGTCAATTTCCAGGAGCTCTTTTTGTATTAAGGATATTAACAACTTTGAGATAAAAGGTCAGGCGCAGTGGCTCACACCTGTAATCCCAGCACTTTGGGAGGCCGAAGTGAGCAGATCGCTTGAACTGAGTTCAAGACCAGCCTGGCAACATAGTGAGATACCATCTCTACAAAAAACACAAAAATTAGTTGAGCATGGTGGCACATGCCTGTAGTCCCAGATACTTGGAAGGCTAAGCCAGGAGGACTGCTTGTGCCTAGGAATTCAAAGTTACAGTGAGCCATGATCATGCCACTACACTCCAACCTGGGTAACAGAGTGAGAGACAGTCAAAAGAAGGAAGGAAGGAAGAAAGGAAGGAAGGAAGGAAGGAAGGGAGGGAAGGAAGGAAGGGAGAGAAAGAGAGAAAGAGAGAAAGAAAGAGAGAAAGAAA